TGCATTTCCCTGAAGCTGCTTAGAAATCCTGGGGAAAGATGGTGGTTTCCCTAACTTCAGTGCCATGGACATCTCGTAGTCGACATGTTGTAGCCTGTGGCAATTACTTTCTGAAAATGGAGGTGAGGGAATTCAGAAATCAATAATATGTTTTGTTAAAGCCATAGAATATGCATGTTCTTAAGGCGACAACTCAACAGGATGGTAATGAATGTTTGCCCTTGTCAGGGATCAAGTGTCTGCCATCTTTCAAACAAAAAGTGAATTAGGATCTTGGAATCTGGTGGTTCAAATAAATTAACTGAAACAATAGTACCATTTCATTTGGATAAAGAAAGATACAAAAAAAAAGGTAAAGACAAGATAGGAAAAAAAAAACCCCCCCCCCCCCAAACACACACAACACCACAAACCAAAACCAAGAGTGGATGGGATAATTGAAATTTGATTGCTTAATCAGAAACTAAGGACTATTTGTGGGTGTTCTGGAGCTGTGGTTTTAGTTCATAATGAACTAGGTTAGTCAATAGTTGCGAAATATACTCAGCGTATAGCTCTCTTCACATGAGCTACTTACTGTATATAGTTACCTTTTTATAATAGGTTGTCAAATGGGAAGGTCATATATATATACATATATATATATATATATAATTTGATTTATGCTGTATAACAGACTATTATCCCAATTAAATGGTAATTAGAAGAAAAGATTATTGGGTTTATGTTTTTCTGTTTATGTTAGTTATAAAATTGACTTTTGAAGCCTTTTAAAAAACATATACTGTCTTAAATTCCTTTGTGTTAGCTAATCTGTCTTTTCAGACTTTGTACTGTACTGATAGACAGAACTGACATAGAAGTACTCTATAATTTTAAAGAATATTCCAATTTTCATATTATATCAGTTAAGTGCTTTTAGCTGCAGGTACAGAAATTTCCAACTCAACTGGCTTAAACAATATGGAATAAATCATTGCACATAACAAAAAGTCTAGAACCAGTGAATTCTTTGACTCCATGACATCATTCAAGATCCAAATCTTTTGTCTTTCTGCTCTGCCAGCCTCAGCTTTTTTTGCCTCATTATCTGGTCTCTCATGGTTTCAAGTTGGCTGTAGCAACTCTGAGGTGTCACATATTTAACATAGCCAGAGGAAAACGGTTTCTTAGGGTCTTCCAGTAGGTTTTTCTTCACACCTCGTTGTCCAGACTGGGTCACCTGCCCATAAATAAACCATTTAAGGCAAGGGGGGGCTGTGTCCACCATGATGCACTTAGACCAATGAAGATGGTAGCCTGAATCACATGGGTGGTGGTTAGGACCCCAGGGAAAGGTGGATATTTCAACATAAAAATTAGAGTGCTATTTGCAAGGAAGAATGGGAGAATGCCAATGAGATGTACACAACAAAATTTGACATATAGGGATCTCCTAAGCTTAAATTAAAAAACCCTTTATGGCCCTAGCTGGTTTGCTCAGTGGTTAGAGCATCAGCCTGTGTACGGGTCATTGGTTCGATTCCCGGTCAAGGGCATGAACCTGGGTGGCAGGTTCTATCATTTTCTCTCTCTTGCCTTCCCTCCCTTCCTTACACATTCTTTAAAAAAAAAATCAAAAGAAAAAATATCCTTGGATAAGATTAACAACAAAAACACCCCAAAAAACCTTTATGTAGGATATTTAAATTCTATGCCTGTGTCAAATTGCAGTCCTGGAAACTTTATTCTCTCACTACATGCATTCAGTTTGTTCTGCATAGAAATCTGGTCAGGGCTGACCTCCAACCTGGAGACTAGGATCCAGTGCAGTCTTAAGAAACGGGGAGGGTGGCATAGTCAGAGGCTAGCAGAGCCCCCAGGAAATGGAAGCAGAGCTGTAAATCCCCAAGGAACAGGTTTGAGCAGAGGTGTCACAAATTTAGGCTGTGTGTGTGAGGTCCAAGGGAAATTAGGTTGCACCGAACATGATGTCGGGGCTCTTTGAGAAATGCAGAGTGGATTCAGCGAGTGTTCCAGACCAATACCTGCAAAACCAGGTTGCAAGTGGGCCCAGAGCCAGCGGACTGGGCACAGTGCTGGGCTCTTGTGATGCTGACCTCCCCCCTGGCTCCTTTGGCTCTCAGTGCTCTTGGGGATGGTGTTGGTAGAGCATGCAGTTAATGGATGCTCATTTGGAACGTAGTACCAAAGCTCAGGCAGGGCAGGAATTACATAAATGGAACATTAAATTGTGGTTTTGTTTATGTGATGTATGCTCTTTTCTTTTATGGTGGGTCAGTATAAGAAATAGTCATATGATTTCTGCATTGAATATAAAACTTTTGTCCATTCTGCTCTTCACTTTTCCCCCAGTTCTCATGTGACTTGTTCCTTCAGGTCTTCTCCTCTGAGAGCTTTTCCCTGAGCCCTCACCCCTGGCTCTCAACCCCCCTCCCCAACCCCACCTTCCTTTTTTTTCATCATAGCCCTTATTGCTGCTGGAAGATTTATTTACTGTATCGTCTTTCTTCCCCACTAGAAGTAGGCTGCAGGAAGATGGGGACTTTGCTCTCGTGTTCATGCTATATTATCTCCAGTACCAAGAACATACTTTTTCCTATACATTTATATGTTTAATATACATATTTAGATTTGTACCCTTTGTCGTTAATAGTGAGAGAAGTTGTGTGTGTGTGTGTGTGTGCGTGCATTTTTACATACATAAATGGAATGATGTTGGTTCTGTTAGTTTCTTTTGCTTAACAGTTTCTTAAGGAGACCTTTCCAGATTAGTGTATATATTTCTGTCATGTAACTTTTTTTTGTTAATCCTCACCTGAGAATATTTTTTTCATTAATTTTTAGAGAGAATGGAAAGGAGGGAAGCCACACAAACACACACACACACACACACACACACACAGAGACTGAGAAAGAACCACGTGAAAGAGACACATCAATTGGCTGCTTCCCGCACACACCCCGACCAGGGATGGAGAACGAACCCGCAACCCGGGTACCTGCCCCTGACTTATCAAATCCAAGACCCTGTGGTGCAAGGGCCTATGCTCTACCCACTGAGACCCACCGGCCAGAGCAAAGTCCTCTCTTTCCTATTCTGAAAACAGACTATGGCCAAAGTCATCATTGATGCCGTTTCTGCGATATATGTTGATGTTAACTGGGCAGGATGAGTCTATGATGACAGCATGTAGTATATTAGGAACTGGGAGCATTTGAGAGAAATTACTTCTCACCTTTTTCTTAAATTGTATGGAAAGTACGTTGTGTTCCTTATTTAAAGGACAAATAAACAAATATCCTCTTTCTCC